GATAGTTTCAACATTCCTTGGCATTGCCCTTCTTTGGGATTGGAATGTATACTGACCTTTTCCAATCCTGTGGCCACTGTTGCGTTTTCCAAATTTGCTGGCAAATTGAGTGCAGCACTTTAACAGCATCTTTTAAGACTGAATAGCTCAGCTGGAATACCATTACCTCCACTAGCTTTGTTGTTAGTAATGCTTTCTAAGGCCCATTTAACTTCGCATTCCAGGATGTCTGGCTCGAGGTCAGTGATTGTACCGTCGTGGTTGTCAAGGACATTGAGGTCTTTCTTGTACAGTTCTTCTGTGTATTCCTGCCATCTTTTCCTAATCTCTTCTGCTTCTGTTAGGTATCTACCGTTTTTATCCCTTATCATGGCCAGCTTTGCATGGAACGCTCCCTTGATTTCTCCAATTTTCTTGAAGCGATCTATTATTTCCCTCTATTACTTTGCATTGTTCATTCAGGAAGGCCTCCTTATCTCTCCTTGCTTTTCTCTGCATTCAGCTGGGTAAATCTTTCCTTTTCACCTTTGCCTTTCGCTTTCCTTCTTTCCTCTGCTATTTGTAAAGCCGCATCAGACAGCCACTTTGCTTTCTTGCATTTCTTTTTCTTTGGGATGGTGGTGATTGCTGCCTCCTGTACAATGTCACTGTCAGGTCCCCACAGCCACAACGAAGTACACACTTGTAGAAAGGTTTTACTTTAATTGAAGCTGAAGATGCATTGACAGGATCACTGTTAGGAATGACGAGGACTCAAAGAGCATGACAGGTTATAGTGCATTCAAACAAGCGAGGCCCAATTACGGGAGTTCCCACGCGCGCCATTAGGCCTGGGAGCAAACGGTACTATACAGCATAAACAGATATTCTTCCCACGGCACCTTCGTGAGATAACCCAAGCAACTATCCAGCAGCAAACCTCCTATGGCCTTGAGAGATACACGTTACTTTGATGAAGCAATTAAGTGCATAAACAGGAATGCATAGTAAAAACGAAAGTAGAAACAATTGGCAGCTTGCTGACAGTCACGAACCTCCATCCATAGTTCTTCAGGCACTCTATGAAATCTACACCCTTGAATCTATTCTTCATCTCTACTGTATATTTATCAGGGATGTGATCTAGGTCAAACCTGAATGGCCTAGTGGTTTCCCCAATTTTCTTCAGTTTAAGTCTGGATTTTGCAATGAGTAGCTCATGGTCTGAGCCATAGTCAGCTCCAGGTCTTGTTTTTACTGACTGGATAGCCACTTTGCTTTCTTGCATTTCTTTTTCTTTGGGATGGTGGTGATTGCTGCCTCCTGTACAATGTCACTGTCAGGTCCCCACAGCCACAACGAAGTACACACTTGTAGAAAGGTTTTACTTTAATTGAAGCTGAAGATGCATTGACAGGATCACTGTTAGGAATGACGAGGACTCAAAGAGCATGACAGGTTATAGTGCATTCAAACAAGCGAGGCCCAATTACGGGAGTTCCCACGCGCGCCATTAGGCCTGGGAGCAAACGGTACTATACAGCATAAACAGATATTCTTCCCACGGCACCTTCGTGAGATAACCCAAGCAACTATCCAGCAGCAAACCTCCTATGGCCTTGAGAGATACACGTTACTTTGATGAAGCAATTAAGTGCATAAACAGGAATGCATAGTAAAAACGAAAGTAGAAACAATTGGCAGCTTGCTGACAGTCACGAACCTCCCTCCATAGT